ACAGTACCCAGACAACAGCCTATGACAACATCCTGACAACAGACTCTCAGAACACACTGACAACAGCCCATGACAGTACCCTGACAACAGCCTATGATAACATCCCGACAACAGACTCTCAGAACACACTGACAACAGCCCATGACAGTACCATGACAACAGCCCATGACAACATCCCGACAACAGACAGTGACAGTACCCTGACAACAGCCTATGACAGTACCCTGACAACATCCTATGACAGCATCCCGACAACAGACTCTCAGAACACACTGACAACAGCCCATGACAGTACCCTGCCAACAGACCGTGACAGTACCCTGACAACAGCCTTTGACAGCACCCTGACATCTGCCTATGACAGCATCCCGACAACAGACTCTCAGAACACACTGACAACAACCTCTCACAGCATCATGACAACAGCCCATGACCGCACCCTGACGACAGCCTCTTACCGCACACAAACAACGGCCTTTCTCGTTATGGTAGCAGCAGCCTATGAAATCACCCTGACAACATACTCTCACGAACCCTGACAACAGAATCTCACAGCACCCTTAGAGAGACTGTGATAGCACCCTGACAGCACTGCTTACCTTTCTCCGAGTTCGGGAACCGGGCTGCCATAGCTATTATTATGTTGAAACACAGCAGGATATTCGTGATCATTGCTCCAGCAAAAACCCACAGCAACTGGCCGACAGTCGTGGAACCACCACGTTATGGGCGCTTATCAATACTTGTTAGGATCCCTACAACAATTTTCTTAAAGCTTCTGAGTAGGCCTTTCAAACTACTAATAGTAAACCAAAAAGATTACATAATTTGCATTAGGAATATACACCTGGAAATTCATATCTCATGGATGAGTCACTTTTCTCTGCGACCTCGTGTAAAATCGATAGAACAGTATCCGATGTTGTTTCCTGGTTTCAAGAGTCAGCAATAATAAAGAAACCAAGGGTTTAAATCGGAAAAATGATATTTATAATAATGGCAATGCTTGCAATATGAAGAAAGCTGTGACATATGTACCAAACACAAAGCGGAAATTGCTATCGTTGCAAAATAAATACTAAACTGCTTGAAACCATTCTGTATTGTAAGAATCCTAAACCAATGTCAGAAGATGCAAAAAAGACAAGTTGGGACCTTGACGGCCTTTCCGTATCACATTCGCTGGAATATAAGATCATCACAATATCTTTTTGAAAAAATAACAAAATGAGAACTGTTACTATTGCAAAGAAACTTAATGGATGTTGATGTGAAATAAGTATCCCATCTGATGTTCCTCCTTACAAAAGTGACTGGTCACATATTACTCCTGGAACACCATAGCGTTAATGTTTCTAAATGGACAGAGTTTAATCGTTTCCGTGAAGCTGGTATCCGATCACGGAGGGCTTGCATTTGAATCTCTGTACAGACAACCCAAAGGTTGATCGGCTTACTGACGTTCCTGATCCCAAACAATGCTTTCCTGATGAACTAATGAAAACAATTGAAAAATGTGTTCCAAAGTCCTCTGCAATGCCACACATACCTAAACTGTGATTTAGCGATGCTTGCCAATAACCTGGGAAGGTTAGGGAAAAGTCAGAGTGTTATTTCCGTCACTAATTTGAATAAATTTTAAATTTTAAACGCACATCTTGACGAAATTATATGTCAAAAATGATTTCACAAAGTCTAATGTCCATGGTATGGAACATGGTCCAAAAAGGGAACTAAGTCTAGTATTCACCATCTTAATACTTTGGACCAACTACTAACTCATAAATCAGATGCTGCTTATAAACTTGGTGAAACTTTGAGTGAAACTTTTATGTACCTGTTGTCATTAGCATCAATTTGATACAATATTTTTTCTGATCATTCGACACTCAGCTAATAGCTGTTTGACAACCATTATCAGCCTTGACAGGGGAAGAGGAGATTGCATCAGAAAAGGTCAGTGAAGAAGTGGAAGTGGTTGATACCAGTTTCTTGGCGTCTGAAAAGGAGATATCATCTGCACACTTTAGTTTCAGAATTTGGGTCTGTGTTACAAAAGAGGACATGATTTTGAAGTGGACATGTGATCACCACTGCAGTGTGCACATTTGATGGTATCCATGCAGTCAGTGCTATCATGGGTCTTACTACAGAAAGAGCAAACTTGGATATGGCGACAGTCTTTTGCTCCATGTCCAAATTATTGGTATTTAAAGAAACTGAGTGACTCCACATCGTTTATTGTTATTCCTTTTAAGCCTTTCTTATTCCTAATCATTATTCCTGGTATCTAAGCTACAAGCAAAACAAGTAATGGTTAAAGTGGGTCTTCTTGCCTACATCCTCTTTGGTTCTGAAAAGAAACTGGAGAGATATCCATTTGGTATGGTCTATGATGCATTCTTATTTAAGATATTAACCCATTTCATGATATTTGGTCTGAAACCAAATTATTTCATAACCAAGTCAATAAATCGTTTGGAAACTGTGTCAAAACCCTCATCAAAAACATACAGTAATAAACGTCCTGCCCTATTTTGCTCTTTCAGCTACACACATGATAATTATACATGCTTCTGTCAGTTTCACTTATCCATGGACAAGGTATGAAGTCGGTTTGGTTACTATGAATTAATGTTTTGCATTTTAATGTTAAAGTTTTCTTAATTTTGGTTTCTATACAAGAGCTTAAAATTGTTAAATCAGTCGCCTGTTTTTCAGAGGCCTTCTGTCTTTGTTTCGTTTCAGAATACATGCAATTATTCCTCTAACTATAGTTGAGATTATCTGATTAATCTGAATTTTGTATATATACCTAAAAACCCATACACCGAAGTCATTCCAAAAGAATGAAAAACTGGGGACACAAATCAGCCAGGGCTTTTGTTTACAACTTTTAGGAGTTAAAACATTTCAGCAGGTTTTTCAATGCTATCTGCACATGATTATAGACACCATCTAATACTTGTCTGATTTCAAAAGTGTGTTCCCTATTAGAACTTCTAGATGAATACAGGATTTTGTAAAGTTCTTTCTGTTCAGGCAGTATTTTGTATCCTTCAGTGACACCTTCACCATTGGCATTTGTTAAATTATTAATGGTCTTATGAAATATTACTCAGTGCGGCGTTCAACAACAAACCAACCAGCCAACTAACCTATAGCTGGAATATTGCTCAGTGCGGTGTTAAACAGAAAACAAATACAAGTCACCTTGTTGTAATGAAGGCCGGGAGTCAAATACGCAGCAATAGCCATGACACCACAGTGTAATTTTATTTCCAATAAAGAACAGCAGAAACGCTGAAATATACCTGTGCACAGTGAATCTTACAGGCAATATAGTGTGTAAAGGATATCCTGTTCCCGTGTTTTCAGAATTTGCAAAACCAATTTATGTTATGATAATGTTATCTGGCATTAAGGCGTAAGAAAATAACCAAACAACTTTATTTACGCCGCCTCTATGTGTTAATTTTGTATTTACCACATTTTGTCTTCACGTGGTTAATGCCAGGAATTATTTATATCTACGTGTATAATTTTTCCCATGCATGAGTAACCTCTATGAGAAGGTGCCAAAATTCACCAACAATCATTATAGCTTCATTAGAGGATAAAAATCACACATCACAAAGGCATCCGGTCATTAGAAAAATCAAGCCAAGTGCATTGGTCAGTGTCAAATACAAAATGCAAAGGTAATTAGCTGATGCCAGTGATAATAATATATATTCACCCAGCAGTGACAGTGGTCAAGCTCCCGAGATGGGCTAGGCAAGGAACGATCAACAAGGGACGATCGGCGATCCCAACACGAAAGCTTGTCTTGACTTGATGAATATAGATGTGAGACAGAATGTGTGAGAGATCAGGCACACGTACTCTTGACCCACTTGTCCAATGCTGTAAGACCCTATACAATGCGAGACCAGTCTCGCCGTTTGTGGAAGTTTACACCCCTCTGTAGCATCTAAATACTAGTAAAGCAACTTCCTGACTGCTTAGATTAAATTGCACTACATTCCTGACGACTAATAACAGTCCAAATACAACGCAATGAGCTTCTACCGAATCTCAACAATAACAAAGTAACTCAGTTACAATCTTTGGTAACCAATAAAATACACTGAAACATAAAAACAACACTAAAATTTTGAAGTTTCCAAAATAATTTTCAATCAAACAATCAGTTTTTATATCACATACATTCAAGTTCACACACATTCAACTTGACGTGTCTCCTGGCGGTAATGAAGGCAGGGAATCACAGTACACAGGATGTTATAAGTCTTTTTACGCGGGCTCCAGTGACTTTGCCAAAGCATGCGAAAAGCCGGGTTCTTTTGCAGGAAATTCCACAATAGGCAACCCTGACTGATTAAACATGGACGCAAACTGAATGACGAACATTTTCCAATCAACTCAAACAAATTTATAATCTGATCTAACGACTTTGTATAAAACAAAAGTAGCATAATACTTTAATTTAAAGGTTATATTTAGTTAACATTAAGTTTGAAATTGCTAACTGAAACAACTCGATAGTATACAAGTAGTTCTGTCTTATATATATATACTACTCAGAAGAAGCTAAACAACTCGCGCTTGTTTCATATGACTACAGTTAATCTGTGGTTGGGCTTTGGGGTATTCCTGTTCATCCATGGGTTGCACCCTACTCGGCCCTGTGTCCCTGATATGTTTCTGGGTATGTGAAAGATCGACATGATATCTCCTTCACACAACAAGGCATCTGTCCTTTCTTGTCCCATCTCCACGGGATATTAGTGCCGTCAGTTACACTGGTACTTAGTGACAGAAAGTTAAATGAAAGAGGGATAGATGTGTATGTTTAAAAGTTGCTTATGTCTAAGATCTGCATCACTTCTCACCCCATGCTATAACTGAAATGCTTTTCTGTCTGTTGACATTCTACCCTGACGAACGATGATTGGATAGGCAGGTGCTGCAGGCATTATTTGGTGAACATGTTCAAATCACATTTCACACACAAACCAGCGTATTTTACTACAGTCATCATCGTTCCAAGCAGACCCAGACATCTGGATCAGGACACAGTCCTCGTCATGGCCTTCATATGTAAAGCTTGGCTCCCCTTTGTGCCAGTTCGTGTACGTCGGGACGGAACCGTCAGTCCATCTGTAGACGTTTGACCTGGTTGTGTCCCGCAGTCCAATCCAGGGCTCCTCTGAAACACCAACTGGAGGGGATGAGGGGAAGGTGTGACTGACGGGAGAGTGAGACGGAGGGGTGTGTGATTGGCGGAATGATGTGAAGACGCTACAGTATCGGATATTTTGTTTTTTCTGGAGGTTATGCCTAGAGGATGGATGTGACTGACGGAAGTGTGTGACTGATTTGTTGGTGTGATTGACGGGAGGGCGTGATTAAACTAAATGTTTTGTTTAAATCGGGAGAGGGTGTGACTGACGAAGGGGTGTGATTGACCGGAATGTCTGGCTTCTTAGTTGGTATCACTGACGCGACTGTGATACTGACGGGAGAATATGTTTTACAGAAGGTGGTGATTGAACTGTTTGTAACTTATGTTCTGTGTAACTGATGGGAGGGGGCAGACGAGGGTAATGACGGACTAGAGGCTGTGATTGATTGGTTCGTGTGACTGAAACATCTTTTGTTCCAGCTATATTCCAGCTATACGACAGCGATGTGTAAATAATCGAATCTTGTCCCCTGACACTCTAGTGAATGACAGCATGAGCATCGATCTACGCAATTGGTATAGGATGACATGAATCAACCAAATCAGCCAGCCGTACCACCCGATCGCGTTTCTCGACTCTTACGGCAAGCATAGTCGCCTTTTATGGCAAGAATGGGTTGCTAAGACTTGGATATTGTCGGGTTTTAGTCTATCACATGTTTACCTGAAACCTGTAGAAACCTGTGACAACTACATACAACGGATAAGGCAGTGGGATGTTTCTGAATTGCAAACTAAAAGTGCCCTTACACAGATGGATCTTGCGAGTTATTAGTCTATAACATGTTGATTACAGAAATCTGTAGAAATCAGAAGCTATCCTTACAGTGTCACTTACTTTTGTTTGTGTAGTACTTGAAGTTGAACAAGCCTCTGACGATGTCCTGTTTCTCCGCGGTGTCTATCTTGACCAGTGTGGCGCCGTCAGACCTGCACATCTCTAAGGCTCCGTCCCATGTACGTGCCACATTGTATCTCTTCAGATGGATCTCGTCCCCCTCAACTTGGAAAGTCGTGTATCCCTTTTCTTCAGCTGAATGTTGAAGATGGAACTCACTCACATAACGAAACAGTAATAGGCCAACTGACTGCAAATATATACTCAACAACAAAAGTCCCCATGACACCAATATTTTAGTGTATTTTTCAAACAAGTAAAGTTTGGTTTTCAATGTTGTAGTACATGAATTGAATCAAGTTACAAAAACGCAATTGCTGCAGAAAAGCTGGCATTCATGCAAAAGATGACTTTTATGCAAACCCCATGCATTTCACTACCAAGGAATGGGTATAAAAACATGTGCGTTGACAGGATTTTATATGCATTGTTTAGCATCGTGCTGACAACAACCATTAAGAAAAACAACACAATTACGCAATTATTCAACATTACGAAAAGCCACGCCTGTCTGAAAATGAGCGTCTGCGAGCCATCGGTTGCTTGAAGCAGGATCGAGTCAACGTGGTGTGGCAAGACATATTACCGTCCACAGAAACACCATTTGGTCAACAGACACTCCAGCAACTTCGAAACGTGCTCCAGCAGATATAGACAGATATCCCACAGGACGCCTGGTCCATTCCATGAGACGAAGATCGCAACCAGAGGTGGACACACATACTATTGATTTGTAAATTGACATTTTGGCATGTTCATGTTTCATGAGAGAGCACAGTCATGTTCTTACTCTCAAGCACAATATAGTAATGATGATAAAATGAGTGAGGATTGAACAGAGTTTTATATGAATAAGCTCAAAACACTTGGAAGAGATATAGCATTTTCAGGTAAGGTGTAATCTCCTCTCACAATAGGGGATAATGATAGCTTTTGACAACGACACAGGAAACTCCCCATATTCGTTTCGAGAATTGGAAAAAAAACAATCAAGAAAAGATTATTGCCTGGTAATTTTAACATTTCGACAATAGTGTAACCTACCCTAGCTGCCTCATTAGCCTTGAGTTTGTTAATTCAAACATGTATTTCAACCTTACTAATTCGATCATCTATTATATCAGTCAAAGGCAACCAATCAAATTGGTTAGACGGGATATAATCCTCGAAAGCTGAATCGTTGATGTGGTCATTTCGGCCTGTGAGTGAGTGAGGGAGGGAGTGAAGAAATTGACTCCACACATTGAACGCCTGCGGGGAATCGAACCGGGTCTTTGGCCTGACAAGCTTTAACCACAAGGCTACCCCACCCCTATGGAACTCTGAACTAGGCAGACGGGTGTATGTCGTCAGTAAAGAGGCGTAATTAGGCTATTACCACAACCTAGGTTTACATTGTACCCATCCAATCATATATTTCAATCGCCTAAACGACAGGTAACGGGGAATCAGAGTTAGAATAGATCCTAAGAAAGCTATGAAGGTCCTATGAAGGTCGTAAGAGGCTTCTTAATGGATCGAGTGGTTAACTTTCGATCCACATTTTAGACACCCCTACACATTAGCATCAGCTGGTTGGGAATAGCCATTGGAAATTATGTGACTTTTCTGATATGAGTACCATGAAATGAGATTCCACTTACTGTCCGAAATTGCATATCTGCATGCATCATCTGAGACTCGGCCCACTGACACTGGACTCCCGTCTGTCACACTGAGGTGGCCGTACATGGTACAGTGGGAGGTAGTACGCTTGTACTCCAGGGCGAGACATCCGGGAAGAACACTGCATTCTACATTGCATTTCAAGAGAGATACAGCACTAACTTCGTATAAAATGTTTAGTGTATCATCAAAAGGTTTGTCAATTTTCTTAAACCTTCTTCCAAGTACTGTTGCTTCTTGTGGTGAGGCCCCCAGTAGTATCAACACAGGCACAGCCACCGAGAACATAGTACACCTCGTGTGTTTCTGTGGAAGCGGTAACAGACAGACTGACTGTCACCTTTGTTCAATATATATGACCTACAGTACAGCTCAAAAGTAATCTCCCCGCGATTATGATATGATGCTGGTAACAGTTACTTCACACACACACAAACATACACATTAACACAAACAGATAAGAGATATGCACACACAGACAAACAGAAATATACACCTACACACACACACACACACACACACACACACACACACACACACACACACACACACACACAGAGATATACAAACATACAGAGACACACACAGATACACACAAACAACACACCGAATCACACACAGAGATACGAACACATACACGAACAAACTAACAGAAAAACACAGAGAAACAGATAGAGAGATACAATCAGATACAAACACATACAGACAAAACACAGAGAGAGATCCATCCACAGACCCACAAACAGACACACATAGATAGATATACCACACAAAGAGACATGCACACACATTCAGAGAGAGAGAGAGAGAGAGAGAGAGAGAGCGAGAGAGATAGAGAGAAACACACACACACACACACACACACACACACACACACACACACACAAACACACACGCAGATAAATCCACATGGTGACAAACACATACAGTGCATACACAGTAAAACAGACATGAACTCCCAGATATAGACAGAGTGACAGACATATGGGCACACAAACACACACTGACCCACTTAGAAAGACACTCAGACACTCACACATATATAGACAGATACACAAACACAAACACACACACACACAAATACACACACACAAACACACACACACACACACACACACACACATACACACACACACACACACACACAATCCACATTGTGACACATACAGCGCAGACACATTGAAACAGACATGTTACCTATAGAGCTGATAATTTTTGTGCTCCTTTAAGTGTCAAAAGTCAACTTAAAGGAGCACAAAAATTATCAGCTCTATAGGTAACAGTTATCGACACTATATATTGCATATAATTGTTGCTGACAGATAAGTATGAATTATTGATGGGTATATTATCTTGCTTGTGTATCTAGCATCAAACGAAACAGCTACCTGATATATCCCAGTAGCTTATTTTCGATTAACAGTTCTCCTATTTTACACATTTATCAAAAACCTTCAGAAGCTAATGGTTTGTCCCAGACGAAAGAAAGTCATATTTCATAGCCTGTGCTTCTCCAGTGATACAAAAGACTGATGGAAGTCGGCAGAAACAAACAACTGATACAAGTAAAGAGGCAATATATTTATAGTAGTGTTATAAGGTTAAAAATGCATCTCAGAAACGAATGATAATAAATAAAACCCATTAGATATAGTTCGTGACAGAACTTGTAATTGGAAAGGAATCAATAGAGAAAAGACATTTCACATTTATCATTGGATTGGTCTCTGGCTATTATCCATGAGTTAATGAAACAAATGGGGAATTACAAGGTATAATCCATTTGGAGCTTCGGAGAGAGTCACGAAATCAATAGAGAGATGAGCAATCTGGCACGTAGGTTTTTGGTATTTTTCCGATGGCGACACACATGAGTTCATGGTCAGATATAAACTTCTAACGAATCAAATGGAGGTATTGAGACATGTGACAAGGACAGGTCAGGCTCGAACACTATAAAATGATACCCACAACATTAGGAGAGTGGAGCGCGGTTTACAGTCGATCGAGTCGAATCTCGATCGTTCTATGTTTCCACCAGCTAGTGACGAGCCTGGCCAGTCTGATCCTGTTCTGTAGTGATAGATGGACTGAGAGTAAGTAAAACTATGTGAGTATAAACTGGTGTTGCGTTTCTTTATTATGCGGGTGTGAATGCTGATAGAGACAACTTGGAGTAAGGGTCATTAGGCCAATCACTCCTTGACGGAGCCGAGCCGTGGTGGACAAGGCGAGGGCAATGTCCTGGCTTAATTGACCACAAGGACCAGGAACGGCAGTACATTTAGTAACTGTAGCAGGGTTGCACTGGACCCCCGAAACCAGTTACGACATGGTGGAGTATGCGGGTTTTCTCTTGAACAAAATGTTTAAGATGATCCCAGTCTTTGTTTTTCCTATTGTCGTTCCGTGAGTAATTTCCATGTGTCGGACTTCCCTTCTACCGAGGACAACTTCCTCCGCCCCTCATCCCCTCCGCGCCCGCATCCGCTCCGCTCTTACAGAGATTACGGAAGTCCATATGGCAATCGATACTCTGAGCGAACAGTTAGCTACCCTTTTGGCGACACTTATTTTTCACCGTCCGAGATCAATACTTTTCACTGGAGTCAGAATCAGTATCCCCAATCCCTCGGACCATATCCTCCCTACCTAACTCGGCCGTGTAAACAGACAGGACAAAAGTTTCAGCACCAGCAGGACCAACAGCATCTTTGACGACGGCAACCAACTTCGCAACGGGCTAACCTCACCAGTGGTGGTAAGTATGCTTTTCTTTTACTCTGATAGGTGTCCCCCGTGTAATGCAAAATCTCATTTTTGCCTGCCAATTTGACATGTCACAGGAGTATGTAGAACTAGGTACATGTATCACTCCGTTCCCCACCCAGCCATGAACAATTATAGTCACTATCCTTCAGGCAACTTTGCCACTGTGCTGAGCAAACCATACTTACTGACTTTTGACAATACTTATTTGACGTCACGTGACCCACCGGTTTCTAAGTATCCATGTTGTAAGCAGCCTTAATCTCCTCACTGGCAAGTCACTTTAAACAAAATGACAACAGGCATATGATTCATGTTATTTAGGGAGAAAGTTAGTTTCTACAATTGTGGATTCAGGAGATGCTACTAGATTTTTAAGTCTTGAAGTTTTCAATGAATCATGTCTGTGGAATGACATCATTTTGCAAAAGTCAGGTATTTTACCTCAAATTATTGGTGATTTTTTTTAAATAGACCGACGCTTTCAAGTTGTAGCCAATTTACCTTCTATGATTTTAGGCTCAGATTTTCTGATACAACAAAACGCGGTCAGGAATTTTCAATATCGATCAAAATGGTTCAACAAATGTTCTGGGTAAATTGTATTTTGTTACCACCTGTTGCTGTTGCTGGTCAACAAACAGTGACCACAGAACAAGAACAAATTACTGTTCTCTAGCTCTCAAATATTATAATCTCCCCCCCCCCCCAATCAAAAAACAATAAGTTACTTCGCTTTCGCAGTTCAGTATCGATCGGGGAAAAACATGTTACTGATAAGAACGGTGCAGGCAATGATTTCGCCAAATCAGCTGACGACGACAAGATATCGATTTTGACTGTACCAGACATAGTATCAGATTTGTATGATAGACAGTACAGTTCCTTCTCTCTTAGTGTAATCTCAGACCCCATAGGGATTCGTCGATAGCATAAAGGCAATATGACGGTTCAAGTGAATTGTAATATTTTACTTACAACCTATCTTGGTATAATGATCACAGAGTATTTAAGTTTTGTCCACGCGAATCGGCTTAAACAGTTTGTCAACCCGAAAGATAGACCAACTAACCCAATTCCAGTTGTTGCTACGGACAACCAAACGATTCTGTCTCAATCTGACAACAATCATACGGAGATGACCACCCCGACGCCTCAGACATTAACCCCCAAGCAGGTACAGAATCCCGATTTGATTTACAGGAGGATGACGTTTTCATAGTAAAACGAATCTTAGCGCATAAAATAGTGAATGGAGAAAAGTACTACAAGATTCACTGGGAAAATTTCACTTTACAGGAAGCTACATGGGAACCTGAATCTAATATCCCTCAAGGATTGATTCGTGATTACATGATCCAGAAGTCATTAAAAAAGAAGCGAAAACGTTAGGATATATCTGAATATATTTGTCGAATAGTGTTTCAGATTAATTGTTATATTTTGTTTCCTTTTTAGTTCAGACACTGCAGCCTTCGTGTTGGAGACGGTACACTCTAATATTGATTTTTGCATGTGTTTTATTTCAGGTTTAGAATTACATGATGCTATATGCATGGAGCTAGCACATGCTATAGGTCGTTATTACATTGTTAGATGATTCGATTGTCACAAGGTTATAGAAAAATACAAACGTGCATATATGTTGAAAATGTGTATTGTGATTGTCAAATATTGTGTTTTGAATACTCCGAATACTCGGATTATTTACAGAGATGTGTTGGTTGACATTGAAGAAAACGAATCATGTTCATGGGTTATGGCCGCAGATGTATTTCGCGGGCCACGAGAATACAAATGAGTTACAATATATGAGAAATGACGACTACGGGTCGCATGGTTATATACTCCTTCTACGAGATGATTCTGGCTGCACATGTATTTCGAAGGCCACTATAAAGCAAGTTCGCTTTGTGTGTATATACGAGAAAACACATGAGTTACAATATACGTGTAATGACGACTACGGGTCGCATGATTATACAATACGGTTACAAATACAGTGACGTGATATACGATGATGTGAATTGAGATACAGTCATGTGAACTGAATACAGTCATGTGACGTGGAATACAAAAACGAGACAATAAATAATGTTGTGATGATATATGTTGATACTGTAAAAGAAGTTCACTATTGTTGGATGTTGCTTACTCGCACGGTTCCCAGTGTGAGATTATATATTACCTACTTGTGACAATTGTTATCATACTTCTAAGATACAGTCAGCGAGGTGAAGATTCGAGACGAATACAGTCAAACAGTTACTAGGTTTCACAAGACATGGAAACCTTTT